CGGCTGCAGGGAGAACTGTATGCTGTTCCTTTTGCTTCAAAAGAGAGTTCCTCCTCTTTTTTTTCTCTTTTATTCTTCTCCCATACAGTACATTCGGACCAGTTTCCCCTCCCTCCATTCTTCTAAGTCCCTTCCCCCATCTTTCCTCTCCCCCAGCCACTCCTCCTTCATTTCCCTTAAAAAAAGAAAAGGCAGTCTCCCAGGGATATCCAGGAACATGGCCTAACAAGTTACGATGAGACTAGGCATACATCCTCATTTCAAGGCTGGATGAGGCAACCCAGTAGGAGGAAAGGGTCCCAAGAGCAGACAAAAGAGTCAGACACACCCCCACTTCCACTGTTGGGAGTCCCTCAAGAACGCTAAGCTACACAACCATAAGGTATATGCAGAGGACCTAGTGCAGACCCATGAAGGCTCTGTGGTTGCCGCTTCAGTCTCTGTGAGCCCCTATGAGCCCTGCTTAGTTGAGTCTGTGGGTTCTGTTTCCATGGTGTCAAGGGAGAGTTTCTATTCTATTGTGGCTGAGATGAGATGAGAGGTCCACTTTCCTGCACATTCCTCTGGCTCACTATCTTTAGACACCAGAAATCTCTGCTGTGAATCACTCATCTTTTCCATGTGTGGACCATTTTGACATCTCACCATAAGGGATTATAAAGGACTTGACCGGGGCTGGAGAGATGGCTCAGAGGTTAAGAGCACTGACTATTCTTCCAGATGTCCTGAGTTCAATCCCCAGCACCCACATGGTGGCTCACAACCATCTGTAATGAGATCTGGCACCCTTGTCTGTGTACACAATAATAAACCTTTCACAAAAAAGAGAGGAGAGAGAGAACTGACCTTCTCAAATTGTCCTTTGACCTCCACATGTGTGCTGTGGCATGCACACCCACACACATACCAAATAAATAAAATACAAGAAAAACAATCAAGGGCACTGGAACTCTGAATAAAAAAAAGTCAGTGCCTTCATAGATAAAGAGTAAGAGTTAATAAAGGACAATAAATTAAAAAAAATAAAGGACTTGACTATTTAGGTATAAGACTGAATAAGGCACTCAGTTGTTAACTATGTTACTACTGTTCAGTAATTGGGGCTACTGATAGAGTGCTATTGTGAAATCAATTGTTAACAACTAAGAGTTGAATTTTAGATATTAGGATTATTTAAGGTTCCAATATGATTGAGGATGACACTTCAACCCAATTTTATTTCCCCTACTTTTTTCATAGTTTTATGATAAAAGTTAAGTAAAAGATAAAATAGTTTTATTTTTCATATTGGGGGAAATCTAAGCTGGAATTTTGATTGTCGAAAATTCTTTATTAAAACCACTAATCCCTTATGATTTTAATACATCATTAATACATCCTAAATAATCCCTTTCTCAAGATCTGGCTCTCTCTACAGCCTCCTTGAGTTCCCATTTGACTTCTAGTTTCATGCTCCACACACATGGTTCTAAAAAGATGCAAGGTATACACGTCTTTTCAAACAATCTGCTCTTTGTAATTCTTCATTGCTAGTCTTTCCTCCCTGTACAGCTTTTTAGAGCTGCTGGGACGCAACACGTGCATCTCATTCCAGGAAAACATAGTCTCCAAGAGTAGTGGAACAAGAAGCTACCTTCTCCCCTGTGGCCTAGTCCCAGTGCTCCGCTTCCTCAAAAGCACTGGACTGGCTTTGTCATGAACCCTGTTTCCTCCCATCTGTCTCAAGTGCATCTTCATTTCAATCTGTTTGACTGTGGACTATAGAATCCTCTTATTTGCCATGTAGATGAGATCTTATTCATGGATGGATGCCATGTCTTGGGGTAAGTGAAAGAGAGGTGGGGTGAAGTTTACCTTTCATTTATCTACATAAAAAATTTCTCTAGGTATGTGTATGCAGCACATGTACTAGACTGGGGGTAATAAAATCAGCCCTTGTATATATAGATTAAAGTCTGGGATTAAAGTCATACCCCACTGCTGCCCGGCTTAGCCCTTGTCTTCTAAGAGATGGTTTCACAATATAGCCCAAGCTAGCCTCAGATTCAAAAGCCTCTGGCCTTAGCCACCCAAATGCTATTGTTAGCTTTAAGACAAACAAACAAAGACACACACACACACACACACACACACACACACACACAGAGGAACTTGGGAAAATGACTCAATAGAAAAGGCTCTAGCTATACAACCAGAGACCAGATTTCAGATCCTCAGAATCCACTTTAAAAGCCGGATGTGCATGGTCCCCCCATGTGTAATTCTACAGCTAAATCAGAAGCCATCTGACATCAATCTCTGGTCTCTGAATACGCGCTCACATACATGCATGCACTTGTGCCCACACCCATGCAAACACTCATACATATGTGCAGGTACACCATACACATACACATGGACATGCAAACAAATAAGTAAAAACAAGTGGTTATTGGTGAAAGCACCATTTCCACCTTATTTATTTCCTCTAGCCATGAAATGGCATGTTAAGGCAGTCGTGTCTCATTTTTTACCTGCATGCTCCAAAACATTTGAAAATGTATTCTTTTTGCCCACTGTTAAGTGAGCGTCGTGAAAGTTTTATGCTAAGTTAAAACAGCGCATGGTATTGCCTGACTGTTGCAAATGTTGCCACTTGGAAGCAAAGTTCTCCCTTTAATCAGTGCTTCCTAAGGAGCCCTAGGGGGTTTGCTACTGAAGGGTAGCATGCAGCGCAACACCAGCTAGTGAAAAATACAAGACCAGGCTCTTTTTTCTCCCTCCTTCAGTGATGGAGGTTGAAGTCTGGGCCTTGCACATGGTAGGCAAGTGTTCTACCACTGGGCTGCAACCCCAGCCCCAAACAAGCTTTTTTTTTTTTTTTTTTTTTTTTTTTAAGTAAATCTTTTCACCATTTTTTCTCCATTCCTTTTTAAGAACAGGATTATATTCCAAAATAAATGACATTTTAATGCTTGAAACTCTTTTATTGGTCATTATGCTGTAGTTTCTTTCCCTCCATGTCAAAAGCCACAAAAAGAAAAGAAAAGAAAAAACAAAAAGAAAAAATACACGTGTTCTGGTTAGTTTCTATTGTCA